ATAGACAATTCATCAACTTCTTCATAGGATATAAAATTCATGGTAGAGTTACTATTGCAATGGTTAGGAACTCAAAATTACTCTTAGTTGTCGAAAGGGGCCAGGTGCGTAGGATAAGCCTAATATTGAGTGCATTTGAGTGTTTCAAAAATTCTTTAGGAGTGGTGGTGATTTTCAATTTGCTATAACTTGTGTTATTATACCTTCTTTTTGGTTGTTTTTGGTTATATACCTGCTATATATGTTGCTTCCTGACTCTAAATTGATTTTTAACCTTTTATTGCTGGAATCTCATAAAGTAAACTAAGTGCTCTTAAACAATATTAATTATTTTATTTATCTTGTCTAAATATCTTAAACTATGGTCATTTATATTTTTCTGTTTCATTCTCTTTTTTGGATCAGTTTCTTCAACATATAGGCAAGGAGTCAAGCACCTCCCTAGCAGAAATATTAAAAAAGAAATTAATAGTTTCAAGAAGTACACAGTTCTAGATATTTTTCTGATTTATCTAGTGAATGGTAATTTCTATTTCAATATTTGGCATTACATATGTTTTTTCCTTGGGACTTTTATTAATGTTGATACAGCTAGGTAGGAAAGTTATGACTTTTCTAGTTATCATTGAATCTTGTTAAATTAGTGCCATTTTTTGTTGGATTCTATAGCAGAATGCAAACTTGACATGTCTGCCTTAGTACAAATATGTTCTAATAGATTAGATTTACCTTTTAAAAATAGCTAGATAATAGACAACTTTAATTACAACAAATAATCTTGTTTGTCATCATGTAAGTTCTAACACATATTTATTCTTTGTGTTAAAGTGTACAATATGAATAATTCTGATCGTGAGTGGATGTATGCTAGATTATTGGAAGATGGATTCATAAATCCTAGATTTATTATAGGGGTTGAGGAGTTTGTTGCATTTGCTAAAAGACATCCAGAATGCATGGATGATGAAAAGCTAAGATGTCCTTGTAATCATCGTAAGTGTCGAAATAAAAATATTTTGGATGAGTTTACAATTATGACACATCTTGGGACGTACGGCTTTAAACTGAATTATTATCGTTGGTATCACCATGGAGAAAGTTATATGCCACATCCAACTGTACTTAATGATCATCAAGAAGAAACTTTTGGTGAAACTATAAACTCTCAATCTCATAATGCATTTCTGTCTATGGTTTTTGATGTTGGTGGGCCTTCTTTTGATGGTAATATAGAAGAGGAACCAAATCCATCCATACAAAATCTTTATAATATGCTCAAAGCATCAGAACAGGAAATTTGGCCGAGAAACCCACACGGACATTCGCAGTTGTCTGTCGTTGCTCGACTTTTGAATCTAAAGGCAAAACATTGTTTTCCTGAAAAGTTGTACGATGAGTTATGTCAATTTATATCAGAACTAATGCCAAGTGATAACATAATGCCAGATAGCTTTTATAGTACCAAAAAGCTAATGCGAGGGTTGGGCTTACCAGTAGAGAAGATTGACTGTTGCAAAAATGGTTGTATGATTTATTGGCGTGAAGATAGAGAACTTGTTAATTGCAAGTTTTGTGCCCACCCTCGGTTCAAGAGATCAAAATATCAACAATCCAAGGAGAAAACTAATATTTCTTATAAGAAGATGTATTATTTTCCTTTAACTCCGCGTCTACAAAGGTTGTATGCATCGAATGTCATTGCAAAACATATGAGGTGGCATTTTGAGCATGAAACAGATGGTGTCATGCGTCATCACTCAGACTCTCCTGCTTGGAAGAATTTTCATCAAACACATCAAGTTTTGCATCTGAAGTGAGAAATGTCAGATTGGGATTGTCCACTGATGGGTTTAATCCATTTGGTCAATCAGGCCAACAATACTATTCTTGGCCTGTCATAGTCACGCCATATAATAGATGTTCATGAAGGATGAATACATGTTCTTATCTGTGATTATACCTGGTCCAAAAAATCCAAAACAGAAAATTGATGTCTTCTTACAACCCCTCATTGAAGAGTTAAAAAATTTGTGGGAGGAGGGGGCCCAAACATATGATATTTCAAGTAAGAATAATTTTAAAATGCAAGTTGCATTGATGTGGACAATAAGTGATTTTCCAGCGTATCCAATGTTGTCGGGACGGAGTACATCGGGAAAATTAGCTTGTCCTTATTGCATGACAGACTCAGATGCTATTACACTATCCAATGGAGGAAAAACCTCGTGGTTTGACAATCACAGAAAATTCTTACCATCATGTCATCCGTGGCGAAGGAACAAAAAGTGGTTCAAGAAGGGTCAAGCAGTACATAAGGTTGTATGTACTGAACAATCGGGTTTACAAATATTTAGGGAGATTGAGGATTTGGGGCTCAAGAAAGTCACCGAACTTTGTTCCAATATAATATACTGGAATTCCAACATAATATACTGGAATTCCAATATAATATACCGGTCCAACATAATATGTTGGAAGTTCATAAACAGGTGCTCCTATCTCCAGTATATTATGCTGGAACTTTTCCCGTGTTGGAGTTCCAACATATTATGCTGGAAGTTCATACACAGGTGCACCAATCTCCAGTATATTATGCTGGAACTTTTCATGTTCCAGCAAAATAATGGCTATTTTTCAATGACTTTGCAAACGCTAGCTATTTTTTCAATTGCCAGTCCGAAAACTGGCTAGTACGTTCTATTTTTACAAGCTAGACTATGTAGGAAACCTGAGCAAAATTAGAGGGAGAAATTCAAAAATAGCTAGATTTACAAGTGGTCATTCAAAAATAGCCACAGCTTCAAAAGTAATCGAAATTTAGCCACTTTTCATGTAAAGGTAAATCTGAACGAAAACAGTGTTCAAAATCCGAAAAAATACTCCAGTATAATATACTAGAACTCCAGTATCCAGTATATTATACTGGAGTTCTAGTAGAATATATCGGTCCAACATAAAATACTGGAGATTGGAGCACCGGTGCTCCAATATCTAGTATATCATACTGGAACTTTCCCCGTGTTGGAGTTCCAGCATAATATGCTGGAAGTTCATACACAGGTGCACCGATCTTCAGTATATTATGCTGGAACTTTCCGTGTTGCAGCAAAATAATGGCTATTTTTCATTGACTTTGCAAATACTGACTATTTTTGAATGACTAGTTCGAAAACTGGCTAGCCCGTACTATTTTTACAAAATTAGAAGTGTCAAATTCAGCCCACGACAGTATATGCCCAAGCCGCCTAAATTTGGACCGGGTTGGGCTGAGCATATATCCATTGACGGACCATTTTGGTTAGGCCCATTGCCCAATTAACTCATCTAAAAGCTTAATGTGTAGACCCATGCTGTCCAAATTCTCATGAAAGTAGAAATCTAGGTAAGGATAGAGTAATCACAGATGAACCACAATTAATCTTTAAAATTCAGTTTATATCATTGTGTATGATTAGACCAAGTAGGATTTGAAGAATCAATTGGTACAATGCTTCAGTAAAATCTAGACCTCTTGTGCCTTACAGGCATATAAATATAAACCCCTACCCGCGCAATGAATCTATCAAAAATGCTTCCATTATGTCTCTCTCTATCCGCCTTTAACTGTTTCACCATTAGAGCTGTCATTCAACCACAAACCTAAGAAAATGAAATGAAATTTTGTCAGTATACTGTCTACAATGGCTTCATAGCTGGCTTGACTCATCTGGAAATTAGCAAAATAGCACACGTCATAGCTCTGTAGCTTGATGAACATCAACTAATTGGATAGACAAAACTTAGTGGTGGTAAACCACCATATTAATTCCTTTCACAAAAGAAGTATGATAAATGGGTCACATGACAACAAAAAAAAGCCGCATTCATGTAGGGTTCGGAGAAGGGCCGCACTCCAAGGGGTATGATATAGACAGTTTATACTAATGCAAACATTATTGGTTGCTTCCACACCTCGAATTCACGAACTATAAGTCACAGAGACAATTTTACCGTTATTTCAAGATTCCTTTGCTTTTGGGAGGGGAACAACAATTGGAAACGACTGCTAATACTCCGTAGGTTGAGGAGCAAAAGGAGAAATCCGCCCGAGGAGGGGCTCGCATCTGATTAGTTAGTTGGTGAGACAATAGCTTATTAAGACGATGATCAATAACTGATCCGAAAGGATGATCAGCCACACTGGGACTGAGACACGGCCCAGACTCCTATGGGGGCCATGACAATTAACGACAATATGACCAGATGTCTCGCTAGATTGACTCTTCCAAATTTGTTTAACTACAGGATCTAAACCATATTCCACCAGACTACTAGTAATCACTAAAGTTGCTGCTAAGATTGAATATAAGTAATATGGTGATATTGTGAAACTTTATCACTAATAGTGGCAAAATAGATTAAAAAAATGGTAATAATTATTCACCCATATTATCCACTTAAAAATGTGTTGGATAATGAACTTTATAAAAGTGTGTCAAATATAGATAACATCCATATTATCCAATTAAAAAATAAATACTTAATGAATAACCAATGTATTTAAGAAAATTCATTGATAGTGTAAATAAGAAAATATAAGCAAATTTAATTCGTCGTTCAACAACCAAATTGACATCTTAATTTTCCCTTATTCTAAATCTTAATCAAGGATTATGATCTATTAAAACTTCTGAAAAGAAATTTGGAAATGATATCATTTAATTGTTTGATTTTGAAGGGTTTGATTTACAAGTAGATCATAAGAAAATTGTTTCTTGAATAGCAAAAACAAATTCAATAACTTGATAATATATAAACAAACAATAGCTAGTCCAGATTCTTGATTTATTTTAATGACTATATACCGAGTCTTTAAGCAAAACATAAGATTTGCAAATAAGAGAAAGCAAGAAATGTGATGAGTCAGACGACACCAACCAAAAAATAAATAAATAGAGGAAGTGAAACTACAAATGTCGAAACTACCAGGGACTTGAGTGAAATTTAATCGGGTAAAACCGCCAGTACTGGATTATAAACAAAAATAACTTACAACTGCCAAGCGGAAGCCACTTGCACCGGAACGAACAACTTCACACAAAACTCCAGGCAAAGAATCATGAATTGTGAAATTTTCCAGCTGAAAGAACTGGTACGCTTTCGCTTTCCTCTGATATCGATTATGTAGTGAATTTTGACTTCGACCTCCATAGTTTTGACTTTGCAATGATTTCGATTGAAGGATGTGGATCAATTTGAGATACGAGAAGTTCTACGATGTGAGTCAGCTACTAGAATTTGCTGCTTTGTTTTGTAATTTTTATAATTTCTTTTGATTATGCATCAATTAATCCGTCATTTTTCAACTTATTGTGTCTGCGAGTAAGAATATTATTGCAATTTCGCCATTAATATGCGTAAATTTCGATAAGTTCATGTCATGGCGTGTTGGACTAAGAAGTTTCATCTGTGATCTCCTCAGATTTGTTTCGCATTATTTAATTTTACTGTATACCTGATGAATTATATAACCTAGTCACTAGACCTAATTTCTGGAATTGCGCCATGATTATTTCCGTTGAAGTTGGAAGTTCATTTGTGGCTGAAAGAGCGTTGAGAGAAGAGAAAACTACTTCTCTTGATGATCAAACCAAAGGAAAGTTATTAGATACTCTTATTGTAACAAAATTAGGAAAATATTGCATACTATTATAACTCTAGAACAATTATCATATAACTGCAGTAATTCACTAGACATGGTCATAAAATTATAGTGTGGGAGAAAATCATAAACGTTATGAATACAAATACTTCGGTTTCCTAGACCGGCGTAATAGAAAATAGAGTAATTTGACAAATACATTAGAATCATATACAGCGAGTTGCATTAGGTAAGATCTCTAACAGTACAAAATCTAGAGACTGAAGTTGAGTGTTTAACTTTAGCACGTGACTGAAGAGAGTGTTTATATTTTTCGTTTGTTCATCATTCTACAAGATAATGCTGTGGACAAAATTTGGGGGTGGGGGGCAGGTTCCGGTTTCTGATTGGTTTCATATTTTCGTATTGCAATCCCAGAATTCATAATGATTTTTTATTGTACTAAGGATCTTTGTGTAGCTCTTCCTAAAGAATAGAAAGGTGAAAATGGCTGCAGGCATTTTTCATACAATCGTGTTCCATAGAGCATTAGGTTTGGTGCAGCCAAAGGAGATTGATTTGGAACTTTTTGACATTACATATGTAAGTAATTTCTCAACTTTCAAAAAACTAGGTTGAATGTATTTATCTCTTTCTTCGTCCTCCTTAGTGTTGTGTATAGATCAATTGTTGGTAGTAACAAAGAATCTGGAACATGTGTTATTTCCCAGGAGTCTTGATTGATTCAAAGATGTGTCAGATGAAGTTGTGCACTTTGTAAAGGAATAGACCACTTCTATGCTCTTGGTACAATAGGTTTTTCACATAAATGTTGCTTTATGATACTGATATTTGAGTCGGTGCAATTTCTTTCAGTTGTTGTGTTTTCGATAAAATGTTTGCTTTTCTCTCCTCCCTGAGATTCCCTACGTATTATGATCTTATTGTAGATTCAAATTGGCAAAAATGTTGTAAGCATCTCCATTGCAAGTTTTGGTGATGCTTAATTAGGATAAAGAACAAATCCAGTATAGTTGGTTCGTCATAATCAAAGGACATGCCATCTACTAACAATACTACATATATCTGCCTTTTCATTTCTGTCTTTGTTTCCTTATGACTATTTTCTGAAAATGTTTTATTTTGAAGTATTCTGTAATTTTGCCCCCTAAAATTTGAATGGAATGTCAAAGCAGATCATTGGACTACTGCTGTTGGTTGAGTTAATGTTTTGATGCTGAAAAAATGTTGACTACATCCAGACGCGGCTCAATAGTATTGGAGGCCTAAAGCCAAGACGTTATAAGAGGCCTTAAACTTATTTAATAATTTTAGATATTTTTGTTGAAGTTTTTTTCTTTCTTTTTTACTTTTTGAGATGCAATTTCATTTTGACGGTGTAACCAACCCCTTTAATCTTTGTTGAAACATTACTAATCTTTGATAAGATTTTATTAAGTTTAATTTTGAATTTTTTCTTTTCACATGACCGTCAGCATAACTTACTATATAGCATTGCCTCCCAAAGTAACAATCAAGTAGAAATTTGTATTTAAAAAGAAGATATATCTTTTATGATCTAATTAGCTTGAAGCGTACCAACAGAGATCTTGAAAGAAAATATCTTACAAAGTTAGAGTTGTAAATAAAATTTATTCAAGTTGTAGTAAGAAGAACTAGAAAGTAACTGCGGATTTAATTGTCTTTCACTTTCATTTGAATTTATTCAACCAACTCCGATAAAAGACAACATAAAATATAAAACTATGTTATTAATGATTGGTGACAAGGTAGCAAAATATGGTTGAAAAAAATTCTTATCACTATTTAATAAATACAATTAATATTTAAATTACATATAAAAAGAGTATCTTTGGGGCCTCTAATTTTGTGAGGCCTAAAGCGGCCGCTTTAGTGGCTTGGGGGTTAAGCCGCCTCTGACTACATCTACTCTGTTCTTTTAAAATTTCATAGGCAAGAATCAACGAACTACGAAATGTGAATCCATTTCTGTTAGTTCACTTATTCATTAGATTCTTTTTTGCACATATAAGATTTTATGAACTCTGTGGGGACTATAATTAATTGAAATCAAATGTAAATAAGTTTCTAAGAAAGCAGAAGTTAATAAAGATTGGGTAAGATTCAAGATGACACAAACTCAAAGTGAAGTTAAACTAGCTACTGGCTAATATGGACAATGTCAATTATAACACATTAAACTAAGACAAGAAGTTGGTGTTATAGTCAGAGCTAGAGTGGTGTCCTTTGAATTGTGACAATCTGAGGTGATCTCAGTGTAATAAGTGATTGTTTTTTCAGTTTTAAGTCTTTCTCCTCTGGTGGGTCTATTCCAAGATATTGCCAATATTTACTGACATGATTTTTAGTTTCTTCTTGTTTTCATGTTAAATTAAGCAGGTGCAGTGTGGTGATGTTGAAGTTGAGAGGAAAATTGATGAGAAGATTACCCAGTTCATTGATAGGGTGGAGAAGCACCCCAACCGGAAACACCAGGTTTGTGGTAACTTGTCTGTTTGGGTGGTAACTTGTCTGTCTTGGCAATTTAGTATGCTTGCTCAATATTCTTTTCAATTTTTTCTTTTTTTACTTCGCTATTGATATCTGTTTTTCTTTAAATATGCGTATTCCTCCTGAGATTTTCTCATGATATCTTAGCGTCTTTTATTTCGTATTATTTACTTCCAAAACAGGCTGTATATTACTTCTGTTATGCCTTCTTACTCATAGACTTTTTGCAACTTAATTGCTGTTGGATTTAGTAGTGGCTAATGGAATTTCCTATTGGAATTTCACAATGATGCAGATCTGCTTGTCCTTCTATGAAGTAAGAAACAAACAGGCCACATGGTTCACAAACAAAGTTGAACGTCACTATTGGGAACACTGGTATGTAAATTTGAGTGTGGCTCATCATCCAAAAGCAGATTCTGGCAAGTCTCATCACCCCAAAGTTGTTAACGCGGGAGGTACTATCTTGTCTTTATTTCTTTGCCTTCTAGTTTCACAAATGCTCCAGTTTTTACATTTTTGAAGAGAGTTATAACCTTCTTTGTCTATCTATTATAACAGAGAGTGCATCTGAGGAGAGGGATGCTCAGCGCTCAGGACTGGAATCATCTCTTCGTGAAGTTCTGTTTCAGATCATCAAATTTGGAAATGAAAAGAAGGACCATATTCCCTCAGTACCAAATATTGAAGGTGCCTCGTTTCCCTTTGAAATCACTATCTCAAGGTAATTTTCTTTGTTTGTCTGAGTTATCAACATTGACTTATTTTTGGTAGTTATCGCTGGTCAAGGAAAATGCTTTTGCTAAGTTTCACTGTGCAAGCTATTATGTGGGCTATACATAAAGCTGTCACTGTTCAGTTCACTGCTGTAGCACTTCTGTTTTCTTACATTTGTTTGTTTCTAATTAGCGTTGATAGGAATTATGACTATGATGCAGATATTACCAGCATGAATATTTCTTCCATCAATTATAATTTGCCTTTTGTTGTATTGACCTTTGTGACTAGTTTCTCTTTACTCTGCTTTTAGGCATTGGGAAAAGGTTATCAGCTTATTCGATATCCTTGACCTTTTCTCCAAAAATCTCCTGACCCCTTAAATATGATAGTTTCACAGGGACAAAGATTTATGAGTTCAACATCAGTTCCCCCCTTAAACCCCACCCACCCCCACCAAGTAGAGAGGAAAATAAAGTGAAAATATCAGTTTTGTTGAAATTATCTCATCTTTTGTCCCATGTAACCTTCGTGTTCCTCTTCTCCTAGATTTACCTTGAATAGATATCACGCCACTTCTTAGATGAGTCAGTTTTTCATTAAGGTAAACTGCATAATCAGATTTGGGCTTTCAATTTACCTTCTGTAGTTGTGGTATTATGTTTTTCATATGTTCTCATCTATGCATCTTATGATATGCAACCGTTCTATATTTTGTTCATCCACCTATACATCTTAAGGCTGGCAATCGTGCTACGTTTTGTTTATAGTTCTATGCTCTAGGGGCTTAAGTGAATCAGCATATAAAGATACATTCTTTTAGGATATAAAGCATTTGGGCTTCAGTTCATAGCTTCAATACTTGCTATGATGCCTTGTGTAAATCAAACACATCCAGGGTTCAGTTTTCTTCTTTTTATTTAATAGTTTTTATTGACTTACTTCCTCTTGCCGCAAGTTTGGATTTTTTAGGGGACCCAATTATTTAGAGACTTGTTCCTTTTGCTATTTTTTGCTGAAATCTAAAATCAGATCGCAGATTACATCACAAAACATGTGGAAATTAGCCATCAATGACTACTGAGGTTCCAAACAAGGCCCTAGATCGCTGAATTGACTCAATCCTGTGAATAGTATGATATGGTGTTACTACATTTTTGCTCTTACATTGAAACTATCCTCGACTTTGTGTTTGCCACAATTACAGAGACAACTTATCTAGTTGATGAAACTGTGGTGTATGTTATTCTCTCCTGCCAACCGTCCTCATTGTAATCAAGAAGTCTTGTTATCCCTTCCTCAACAAAGTTTGTGTAAAATAGAAATTAGAAGATCGACTTAGTAAAAATATAGTGACAATGTGACATCTTATCAAGCCTCTGATTTAAGCTACTTGTGGGAAGCCAAAAGTACTTTTGGAGGCTAGATGCAGTTTGTGTACTGGTGATAAACTAGTGGAAAGTTGAGTTCAATTGAAGCGCATACATAGACGCAAAGTTTTTTTTTTTTTTTTTTTATTATAAAGATGATTCCAATCTAGCTAAGTTATGTATTGCCTTCTTTTAGTTCATCAGATTCTGCTTTTGGGATGGAAATGCTCAAGAGAATGCTCCAGACAGGGCATCCAAACATGCTCAGCTGATTGGCAGTGCCGTAAATGGGGGCTGGTTCTCTTTTTCTTCTTGGTTGGTGAGGTACAATGCTTGTCATCTGATGTCTAACAATGTGAATATTCTGGCCAAAAGTTGTAAATGGGAGGCTTCTGACGACTAAGACAACTGAATGAAATGAAAAACCATATGTACATACCATACTTGTCCAAATTACAGTTGTTCTACTTTCTCGTGTTACTTACTATTTCTCTGTATGTACTTACTCTCAGATTAGCTATGGCGTAAAGAAATCAATACATGATGAATCTTTAACCACATTTTGATAATTTTGCGAAATACTTTCTCTTTGTCCTTTGTGGCGTTTCTCATTTTCTTAATTATTTTATTGCTTGTTTTTCCTATAGCAAATGCCCTTTGATCGAAATCAAAATGGACATGGTCATCTGGAGTTTGCAGTTGCACCCTGGGCTCCTCTTCCTTTAGGCCATTGTTTGTGTTTGGTTATTGTCTGATGTTTGTGATAGGGACTTGCTGATATGCTCCGGCTCCGCTCCTGAACTTCTATCCCATGAATTGCGTTTTGTACAATGAAGTCCATTGAAGTCTTGTAGAGCTGCTCATCACGGTCGGCCTGCCAAAAGTCTGCTTGTCTGCAACCCAAATGCAAGTCCTGCTTTAGGGTNGGGCATTTTCTTTTACCACGAATAGGTTACTTTTATTTTTTTAATGAGTAATTTTAAGTATAAAAACAAATTTGTATATAAAAAAGAAGATAGCTTTTAGATGTGACACTATTGAAGTGAAATTAGTAAAAGATTGGCTTATATGAACCACTCTTCCAAATTTCATGCGTGAACAAAATATCTGATAAGTGAAATTAGAATATTCCCATTTCTTACCCTTTTTTTTTCCATCAAAAAACAGGTAAGCTATATTTTACATTATATACTCTCCTTCTTAGTTTGTTCAGGAGTCAATCTCTCATATAATATTTATACACTTCTATATTCCCTTTGTATGAGTCAAAATTAGGTCGAGTTTACTGAATGCAAACGAACGAGCGGAGGCCGAGGTCAAAACAAGGCACAATCCAGTGGCGAGGAGTAGCCCAGAGAGAGAGACCAGTGCCAATGTCGAGCAGAGAACAAACAACAACAACAGTTAGAATATTCCTATGATTACGAATAGGAATATTCCATTGAATATTCCCCCAATTATACTTTTAGAGTTTTCTAGGAATATCCTTTATAAATAAGAGGAGAGAGGGAACAAAAAGGCTCTCCGGGACTTTTATGAAAGAACATCTTGTAAAGAGTTGACTATCAATAATATACAAAAAACTTGTCTTGTCTCCTCTGTTTGATTCCATCACAAAACATTCCTCTTTTATTCACAAGATCCAAGAACACTTTGTTCATTTCCATTGTCTGCTGTCACATGCTATAGTCAGAAGAAAGAATCATCTATCTCATCCAAAATTTGGGTGACAAATTCCTTCTTATTACCTTTAATGTCATTTTTCACATTTATTGCATGTTTTCATTCTCATATTTATTAACGGTCATTGAGCATTAACTTGGCATTTGTTGACTTGAACACGGTCCCGTACCATCCAAGTTGTTGAACTTTAGATCTAGGATTCATTACATTTAACTAGGATTCACTCTGTATTTGCTTATTAAATTGGTTTAACAAAAAGGACCCAAAACTCTTTGGTCAAACAATTTGGCGCCGTCTGTGGGGAGTTCCTAGTTAAAAAGTTTAGTTTATTCTAGATCTACAAAAACAACAACAACGAGAGCTTCCTTTTTCTTGTTTACACAAGCTAACTATGGCAGGAAAATGAGAGGAAAGTCTGAAAGCAGTGATGAGTGTCACTACTTACCTCCTAGGCACCATCAACGAGGTGGACAGGGAAGACGAGGAGAATGTGACGCCGAACGCCTCACCTAGGCAAAGCGACTCACCTCCTCCTTACAGGAGTGTAACCGCTTCACATGAGAAGAGAGCCTCCACGTCCATGACGGAAGAAGCGCCGCCAGCAGTGAAAAAGTTATTGGAGGCGTGGCTGACAAGTACCCTAAACATTATACTCGACGAACCCTCTCAAGGTGCGAGTAGGAGCACCACACGAGTTGACAGCCCAGCAACCATCAACGAGCAACACACTCCTCCCCCAACAGGTAACACTCATACCGTTGTTGATGCAGGTAACGACACCCTCGTAACTGTTATGAGGAAAATGGAAGAAATGGAGAGTGAAAACAAAGCACTCCGCGACCAAATAAGCGAGCACCAAGAAAGGGTTGATAAAATACTAGGCGCCCCGAAACTTCTGCCAAAACGGGACGTTGGCCAGTTCGTGAAACAGCCATACAACGAGGAGGCAGACCCACATGCCATACCCAAAACTTTCAAAATGCCACCATATTTGAAAATATACCACGACACAATGGACCCTAAAGACTATATCATTCATTACGTCACGACGGTAAAAGGCAACGACCTCTTGAAAAAGCAGGTACTGTCGGTGCTGTTGAAGAAGTTCGGTGAAACCTTAACATGGTACTCACAATTACCGGCACGTTCCATAATGACGTTCGAGGAGATGGCCGATAAGTTCATCACTGCCCATGCTGGGGCCAAGAAAGCAGAAACCAGAGTGAATGACATATTCGCCATCAAACAATCGCCTAGTGAAGGAATCGGGAATTTCCTCGCCCAGTTCAACAGAGAAAGAATGAACCTGCCGACCGTGTCAGAGGGGATGGCAGTAGTGGCCTTTCAAAACGGGTTAAACAAGAACAGGTTGAGGGTGACCAAAAAATTATTAATCAGACTCATGAAATACCCTCCCACAACCTGGGAAGAAATCCACAATGCTTACTGTGCCGAGGTGAGAGCAGACGAAGATGACCTCAATGGTCCAACTCAACGGTTAACGTCAGTCCAAATGGAACCAAGGAAAGATCGTCGGAATGACAGCCGAAGAGATCACGCAATCTCATGCCTCAATCGGGAAAGGCACCAACCATACATCAGGGCGACCATCCCACTACCTCCATGCCAAGCCGATGGGCCATCCATGCCACAGACAGGGACTCACCGAAATGAAAGAGGTATGCCTCCACTTTTATCTGCTCACAATTTATGTGTTTCTCCTTCAGAAATAGTTTATGCCCTAGAGAAGCTCGTTCCCAAGGTGAAATGGCCATTAAAGATGAAGTCGGACCCAAATTCCAGAAAGTCGAATGCCCTCTACAAGTTCCATCAAGAACGGGGCCACAAGACCGAGGATTGCATAGCCCTACGACAAGAAGTAGTGAACATGCTCCACCAAGGACATTTAAAGGAGTTGATGAGCGATCGAGGGAGAGCCAATTTCGCCTGTGGACGAGAATAACATCAAGGCCCCCCAAAGCCACCCTACCTCACTTGCACCATCCAAATGATCATCGGCGGAGGCGACGAAGCAATAATCAACCATGTGAAGTTCACCACCACACACAAATTGAATTGGTCGATCACCCATGAACGGGAAGACGACCTTGAAGATGGTGACATCTTCGATAAGTCAGATACCCACGGTTTGACCTTTCCTCATTCCGATGCTCTTGTCATTACTTTACAAGTTTCAAATACCGATGTGAAAGAATCATGGTAGACGACGGGAGCGGCGCGTGTATTATCCACCCCAGAGTTTTCACACAAATGAGACTCGAGGATAAGATAGTACCACGCTGCATAACACTAACAAGTTTTAACAATGCAGTTGAACGAACCTCCGGAGAGATAACATTGCCCGTTCTGGCCGGGGGCTTCACCCTGGAAACAACATTCCATGTCATGAACCAAGACATAGACTACAATGCCATTATATGGAGACCTTGGATACACTCCATGAGGGCCATCCCGTCCAGTTTATATCATGTCATCAAGTTCCCTACCCCATGGGGAATATTCAGCATCCGCGGTGAACAACGCACAACTCAAGAATGCTACCGCATCGCCCAAGATTGCACATACACTCAACAGTTAAGAGAGAAGGGCTTAGGAGCATAGCAATTACCGAAGTCGAGGCCCAAGTCCAACGAATAAACAAACGTCGTCAGAGACCCCGACATTGTGGAAGCCATAGGGTCAACAGTAGAAGACATCGATCTCGTCCAACTAGAAATAAAGCAACCACAACAAAAAAGCCTACATCAGCCACAAACGCACAGAACCAGGTAAATTCCATAAATTTTTAACTGACAACGCCGATCTGTTTGCTTTCTCCCATGCAAATATGCCAAGTATCCCGAAAGACATTGCAACACACAAGCTGAATGTTGATCCACTCTACCCACCGGTACGACAAATTAGAAGAAAGTTCAATGCTGCAATTAACGAGGCCATCCGCGAAGAGGTAGAAGATTGCTCGCCAATGATTCCATTCGAGAGTCAAAGTACCCCCAATGGGTCGCTAACGTGGTCATGGTGAAAAAGAAAAATGGGAAATGACGTATGTGCGTAGACTTCATAGACCTAAACAAAGCCTGCCCGAAAGACTCCTTCCCATTGCCTCACATCGATAAGCTCATCGACGCAACAACGAGGCACGAGTTATTAAGCTTCTTGGATGCCTACTCAGGCTACAACCAAATCTTCATGGAGGAGGATGAACAAGAAAATACCAACTTCATCACCCAACAAGGGACGTACTACTACAGAGTCATGCTGTTCAGGTTGAAAAATGCAGGGGCAACCTATTAGAGGCTGGTCACCAAGATATTCAAAGAGAAACTCGACAAAATGATGGAAGTATATATAGACGACATGTTAGTCAAATCAAAAAGAAAAGAGGACCACATTGACCACCTAAGGGAAGCCTTCAACATACTTAGACGATACGACATGAAACTGAACCCCGAAAAGTGTGATTTCAGCATGACCTCGAGAAATTTCCTCGGTTTTGGTGTCCTAGAGAGGCATCGATGTCAATCTGGACAAAATCAAGGCTATAGAGAGAATACCTTAAATTTTGACTACCATTAAACATGTGCAAAAGCTGACTGGTCGTATAGCCGCCCTGTTGAGGTTCATCTCACAATCCTCTGATAGATGCCAAAAATTCTTCAACATACTTAAAAAGGACAACAAACTCCAGTGGAATTCCGAATGCATTAATGCCCTAAGAGAATTAAAGGCATACTTGTCCTTTCCCCCATTACTCGCCAAGGTAGAACCAGGCGAACGCCTCTTAATCTACCTGGCCGTATCCGACGTTGCAGTAAGCGCAGTCTTGGTCCATGAAAACAAAGGTACGCAATCTCCAATCTATTACATTAGCAAAACCCTGGTCGATGCCAAAATGAGGTATCCCCACCTTGAAAAACTGGCCCTGGCATTAGTCGTAGCTTCACGAAAGCTGAGACCCTATTTTCAATGCCACCCCATCTCGGTGGTCACGACCTTCCCCCTACGAAGCATCCTACATAAACCCGAGCTGTCAGGCAGATTGGCTAGTGGGCCATCGAATTAAGCGAGCACGATATAACATATCAGCTGCAAATAGCAATAAAGTCACAAGTACTCACCGACTTCGTCGCCGACTTCAGAGCCAAAATACTATCTGAGGCCGAGTAGGAAGCCGCCCGTACCTCCCCCAAGTTATCTAACCTATGGGTTCTATAC